TTTGGAATAATTATAACTCTTATATTTTCAAATTACACACATCACAATATTTTTATTAATCCAAGGTCTGCTGGTATCTCACCCAGAAAGAGTCACAGTTTTCAATACTTTTAGCGTTCATAACTTGAAACAAGTCAGCGATTCTTTACAACTTGCTATATCTAAATATTTCTCTCAACCAATCGGAATTTATGATTTCGCATCAAATATTATATAAATATTTCGAGTGCCAAAATTGTTCCATTCCTTCGGAACCTAATCCATAGAGGTCAACATTTATTAAAATAATCGAACATTGGCTGAGGGTATACATCTGTCGGCAAAACCGACTGATACTTTTTAACTTGTTTAATATAGATTTCAGGATTTTTAAAAATTATTTTTTCATGGTATCAAGTGATATTGAAAATTCAAATTTTGCGTGGTCTTAATAACGTGGATTTTTAAAAATATTCATTTTGAGGACCTACGTAATGTTTTTTTTTTATATTTTAAAATATAATGGCCACAGTTGATTTAGAGTTTTTGAAAAAAAAAATTATTGGTCCAATAGTTTCTCTATTGCCTCCTAAAGATACGCTATTTCATTTAAAATGTCTCAAGCTGATATTTCTCAATATTTCTCCCAGTGAATTTTTTCTACCTCATTGCCAACTTAAATAGAGTTCATACACTACTAACAATAACCAATTGCTCCCGCTTTTGCTTTTGGCACTGCCGCCATTGTTGTTATTTTAATCACAATTGTGTTGTTATTATCTCATCTATGCCTTCCTCCAGTTGATCCATCTCGAAACCCCATCGCTTGCAGCATCCATTCTATTTAGTTTCACACCCTTAGGCAATGACAGGCTGCTGTGTTGAGAATGTCAGTTGCAACATTGCCACCACCACCACCAGCTTCTCTACCTCCACCATCATCATGTTGTAACAAATTGCATTCTATATTGTGTTAAATTTACATCTTTGAAATATTTGTTGTCAGTGTGTCTAACAACATATCAGCATTCAGCTCCGAATACCCAACAAAGGCAACAACCAGAAAAAAAAACTAAAAATGTGAATATTACATGGCAAGAACATGTGTTGCACTTCATACACACACACACACACACCAAAAAGTGGATGCTGTTGTAACTAAATGTTGCATACGCATAGAAATTTACACAGAGGGTTGGCGGAGGGGGTTTGGATGTCTCTTTTGCATTACATTTAATTTAAATATGCAGTTTATGCCACAAAATGAGTAGTTACCCTTTCATGTCGTAAATTCATTTATCTGTTGACACTGGCCACATTCCTGGGGGAAAAACTGGGGAATGTGTTGTGCGGTAAATTTATGAGAACGACCACAAACTTCATATTGGTATGAAGTGACAATTCACCATTGCAATGTCATTGAAGCAAATTAAATTATTTAGTTTAGAACAAGTAAAGAAGCTATAAGTTCGGGCCGAACTTTAAATACCCTCCACTATGTGGAACGAATTTGGCAATTTTCAAAAAAAAAAAAACAGTGCTAAAGTCGGTCGGGGCCGATTTTATGATACCCTACACCACTTTGCTAATTTACTTGAGCTCCACATAACAATTAAAAGTTTTTATGGGAGAATTCAATCATACACCCTATGATTATAATTATAATTTAAAATTCAAAGGACTAAATATGCCGAAGCATTTGTATCTTTTAAATTCAGACTTGTATTGTGCATTTGGTGCAAAATTAGTTTGAAATCAGATAAATATATATATGGGAGCTATATCCAAATCTGAACCGATCTCGATAAAATTTGGCAAAGATATTTCTGAGCTGTATCTTATATGTTTCCCTGAATATCGTTGTTACGGAGTGCATATTACGGCTGTGGGTAACAAATATAACAAATCGGATGAACAGTATATATGGGAGCTATAGCTATATCTGAACCGATCTTCACCAAATTCGGCATACTACCTTCTAGACTAAATTCGGTCGTATGTGCCAAATTCCATCCCATTTGGGCAAATATAAGACGTTTGGCGCACAATAAAAGGTAAATCGGACGAAGTTATATATGAGAGCTATATCCGAATCTGAACCGATCTCGATAAAATTTAGCAAAGGTATTTCTGAGCTGTATTTGATATATTTCCCCAAAATATTGTTGTTACAGAGTGCATATTACGGCTGCGGAGGACAAATATAACAAATCGGATGAACAATATATATGGGAGCTATAGCTGTATCTGAACCGATTTCGATCAAATTTGGCATACATATTTACAGGCCTATTTTGGTTGCATTTTGGTTGCAAAATTTCATACTATTCGGGCTGATATTACACGTTTGGCGCACAATGAACGGCAAATCGGACGAAGATATATATGGGAGCTATATTTAAATTTTGACCGATTATCTCCAATTTCAATAGGGTTCGTCCTTGGACCAAACAAATGATTTGTGCAAAATTTCATCTGGATAGGGCAATAATTGCGAACTGTACTTTGTTTACAAAAATACATGGACAGACGGACGGACGGACATGCATAAATCGAGTCATAATGTGATTCTATGCAGATCATCAAAAGGAACTATGAGTCTATCTCGTTTCCTTTTGACTGACAAACAAATGCACAAAGATATAATCCCACTCTAGTCTGAAAGCTTAAGGTATAGAAAAGTATAAAAAAACATAACAGAAGAAGAAGTGAAAAAGAATTAAGTAAGTAATATCCTCCAACATATGGAAGGAATTTGCAGATTTTCAAAAAAATCCGTTGACAAATATTGCTAAAATCACAAAAATACCGAATATAGGTTGTTACCATTATATTGGGGACTACACGAAGACGTGGACCTACACACGCAACTTTTGTCATAGGCCATTATGTTATTCAATACAAAACTTGAAACAATTCGTGTGAATAATGCCGCTAAAATCATCAAAATAATGAATATAGGGAGGCACCGATATGTGGGGGCTATACGAAGACCTGAACCTGTATGGGCTATTTTCGGTCACAGGCTGTAGCACCCATTAAGCATTTACAATACGAAATTTTAAAGAAATCCGGTGAATAATTTCGCCGAAATCGTTAAAATATCGAATATAGGGAGGTATATGGGGACGAAGACGTGGACCTGTACAAGCAATTTTATGTCATAGGTTGCAACATTTCCATTGAAAAGTGTAATACAAATTATCAAAATACCGAATTTCTGGAGGAACAGTTATATGAAGACTATATCAAAAAGTAAAAATATGTTGACAGTTCTATGCGAGGATGTTTCATACATAATGATAATAATTACTTCCAATTTACATCAAGTCAGGGTTTAAAAACTGACTAAAACACACTTAAAAAAACTTAAATCTGTCGGTAAATTTATATGGGGGCTATATCAAAACATGAACCTATATAGCCAGAGAAATTTATTTAAACAAAAACAAACAGAGAATTTTATTTTAATTTTATTTATATGCCCTCCATACTATGGTGGAGGGTATGAAAACGGCGAGACATTTGATCATTGGTAATAAAGGGAAGTAGTTACACAAAGTTATAACACAAAATCTGGACGTGAACTGAAGATTCGTGCAATATTTCTTTACGATTTATTTATTTTTTAAATCAAATATTTTTACGTATTTTTATACCCTACAACACTTTCTGTCGGGGTATTACATATTTGATTGGGCCAAAAATTATGTAACACCTCGAAATATTTGTTTCCCACATAGGAAAGTACATATGGATCTTCCTATCTCAAAATCTAGCGATCTAGCTATGTATGTCCGTCTGTCCATGTTAATTTGTAATAGCTCTGCAGGTCGCAATTATGGCCTGATCATCAAGAAATTGAAAATGGAGGTGGGGATAAGGCCAGAATAGAACCCTATTGTTTTTGAAGATGATCACAAACATCTTTAGGCAATAATAGACCAATCGACAGGGCAGAAGCCTTAAAATTTTTATGGTCATCGGGTAATATTTGGTGGGTGAAATAGACCGTTACGTAGATACCGATAGTAAATATATCGGATATATATAGCAAGATATATATAATGTGTATGTGTAAAGGAAAGGGATGTTAGCTAGAATACTTATATCTCAAGAATGGCCGGACCGTTTTTGACAAATGTTGTCAATTCAGAATGCCCTCTGGGCATAAAAGGATAAAATCTAAAAAAATCGCATAAAATGATGACAATCATGTTGTTAATATAGATTTTGTAGTATTTTGTGATATTTTTTATTTTTTTTTTATATTTTTAATCGCATGCGATATTTTCAATTTGATTTATGATATTGAAGTGTATATTTTGTAATATTTTTTTCATCTTACAACACAGGTTGTGGTTATTATAGGCAGATTGCAATTTTCGTCCGAAATTTTCATAAGGGTTGGGTTAGAAGGGTTAGGCTTATTGAAAAGATGTTCGCAATATATTTAGGCGTCGAAATGGACCAACAACTAAAAATATTTCTAATTTTGCAGGCGTTATAAAGGTCAGAAAAAGAAAGCAAAGGACACGAAATCTCGCATGAAGTGAGAGATGAGATGATCGCAAAATATTTAGTTCAAATGAACCAAAAACAGGAAGAATTTCCTGATCACACAATTTCAGAAATTTTGAATGGGAAGAGAGTCAAGGACAGGGAAGAAGAAAATGCTAAGTTCAATATCTGTGTGCAGCGCTCCATGACATAATTTCCAAACCGAAATCTTCCAAAATGGATTTGGACATAAGGGGGCTTATAACACATTGTAGTGTTGTAGGGTATCACATGGTCGGCCCCGCACGACTATAGTCTTTGCTTACTTGCATACATATTTGTTTGCTTGTTTCATACGAATATCTCTCTGATGAACAGGGGTTGAGTACTTTCTGTTGCTTACCACGAATATCAAAAATATCTACTAAAGATAACAAACTAAAATAAATTTTAATTTTATAAACTATTATCATTAAATTGTTTCAATGTAAAAAAATGTATATGTAACCACGTTCATATATTCACTGCACATACATTGTTCTCAATAAAGCGAAGAATTTATAGGAAATTTGTAGGAGCTGAAAGGAAATGTGCCAGTCTTCAGTTAAATATGTCCATATCGAAATAATATCAGTATCCTTACCTGGGTCATTGTTGCACGAGAGACTGGCACCAGTGTTGTGGCCTTAAGTATGACGGGTTTTTGTGCTCTTTCTGTGATTAATATTAACATTTTTTGACAACACACATCGCTGTCTATCCAATTTTGATTGAAGGCGGCATCAGCTATACTGAGACTCTAAAAGAAGAAAATAATATATATGAAAAAGGAATTTATTGTTGACCAGATCTACGTCTTGATGTTGTATAACTTTACGAAAATTTAATTTTTAGTAAAATCAGTTTAGGGATTTCTACCTGTTACGACCAAAGAAGCCTTGTTACATCGCAATCGATAAGGAAATTAGGGTATGAAATCTCTTCTACATATTTGATATATTCAGATTAAGATTCCTTGGAATACCTATGTGATGTTTATGTCAATATTACTGATGAGAATATGATTTTTATTTTGGTTGGCAAAGGGAGCTTTCTTTTAATATGTGTAATTCACCCATACTTAGGGGCTATACAAAAAAGTGGACCGATATAACCCATTTGTAAACCAATAATTCTTGAAAATCGGGTATTTTATTGATTTTTAACACCAAACTATAAACTACTCGCGTTTTAAAATCGATAAAGTGAATATGGAATATAGGATAGCAAATGAGTCTCGGAGATGTTCGGGAATTCAGAGTAGTGTTGTTTAATTGATGATCGGGGAATTGGCGTTTACGATGTGTCGTAGGTAAAAAGGTGAACGTTTCGTGGATAAACGGGAACTCAGATGTCGGGTTGAAGGTGGGTGACCGTCGGAAGTTGACAAGTGAGAAAGATCTGGACGTGAAAAAGAACTGAAATTAATATTCTTGTGTTCGGCGGTCGGATGGTGATGATTTGAAGAGAACTTGTGGAAGGTCGCCAAATGTTGGTTGGTGCGAGAGACCAGGAATTAAAATATCTTTGTTCGGATGACGTTGGCGTTCAGGATGGTGACGATTTGAAGATAATCGGGAACTTGTGAATGACCTTCAGTCGTCGACGGGTTGAATGTTATTGGACAAAATGAGGTTGGTGCTCTTAGTGACGTCGGTGTTCTGGATGTTGTCGATTTGGAAGTAATCGGGGCTTATGATGTAGCTGGTGGGGATGTTGATATTCAGGCCTTCGGAGGCGGGTAGGGAAATTGTGGTATACGTTAGCAGTTCACTGTAGAAATACGTGAAAGCAGCTTTCCAGAGTTTCGTTCGATTTCGTGAACTCGCTGTGGGTATGCTTGGAAGCAGATGTCAAGTCCTTCATATATGGATCGGGCTCATTCGAGTTCGGCAGCTAGCTAAATTTGCTAGCTTCATTTGGCAGCCGATATGTAGGTCGTAGCAGTTGGATCGAAACTCGTTCGGGTCCGGCAGTTTGCTATAGGTATGTTCGGGTTTAGCTATTCGGGTCGTTTTCAATGGGTAGGTTCAACAGTCGATATCTAGGCCTTTGCAGGTGGATCGAAGTTTTCTGTGGGTGTGCTCGGGTTTAGCTATTTGGGTCGTTTTCAATGGCTAGGAAACTATTCCGCTAGCATTACGGTTCATGACTACGCTACTCGACTGCCAATATTTGAACCTTCGGAACAGCGAGCCGACGATATTGCGGAACAGCTAGGCAAAACTTCTTTGGAACAGCAAGTCGAATCTCCCGCAGATCAACGAGTCGAAGCTGCTATGGGACAACGATCCAAAGACTCCTGTGTAAATGAATTACCGACCATTTAATTTAATGAGAACCAGTCTTGGAAAAGATATCCCCATCTAACAATTTTGTTAGTCGGAGGGCAGAAAATGATTCAGAAAATCACTAACTATCCTTGGGCAATCCACTTGCAGTAGTAAGTATGTATCATTGTAACCCCAATCCAACACTATATGTGATCGCATAACTAAGTTAATGAGAATTATTTCCTTTATGCAGTATACTGCATATTGCCGAAAGCTTAATTGTTCATTACGCGACCAACGAATACAAGGGTGGTTAGTTGATGTTGTTTTCGTCGCGTGTTCTTGTAGCCTTAATATGGCCGCCGTTGTTGTTGTTACTAGTGATACAATGGGTGCGGTTGTATGTTGTGACTTATATATTTGATGAAATACTCACGTTACAGACTTGACAGAAACTCAAACTTTTGGGGTATCCTAGGAGTCATTGTAGCATTTTATGAGAAATAATTTTGTTGAAAAGGGCCTAAAAGACCCCTAGTGTGACTCACATGCGTATTAAACTTGCCGATCAAAATAATCATCGTTTTGCTAATATTACCGATGATACTGTACACCTCAAATGCGTGGATTACAAGAAATTTTAAGCAAAATATTTAACAATTAAAAAGCTGTAAGTTTGGCCGGGCCGAGCTTTGAATACCCTCCAACAGTTGGAACGAATTTGGCAATTCTCAAAGAAAAGTAAAGTAAATAAATAAATAAAATAAAAACCGTTTAAAATTCTGTTAAAATCTTAAAAATACCGAATGTAGCTGTTATATTAGGGTGTATACGACGACATGGACCTGCATAGGTAACTTTTGTTATAAGCCTTTACAACATTCCAATGCGAAACTTATAAAAAAAATCAGTGAATAACAAAAAATCAGTGAAGACGTGAACCAGCACAGACAATCTTCTGTCTTAGACTGTAGTATCCATTACGAACTTCGAATACCAAATTCGAAACAATTCCGGTGAAGAATGTCGCTAAAATCATAAAAATACCGAATATCAGGAGGTACTGCTATATGGGGGCTATACGAAAACGAAGACCTGTACGAACAATTCTCTGTCTTAGGCTGTAGTATCCAATAAGAACTTTCAATAAAAAATTAAAATTATCAAAATACCGAATATGGAGAGGTACCGTTATATGGGGGCTATAGGAAGACGTGGTCCTGCACAGACAATTTTCTGCCATTACAAACTTCAAATACCAAATCTGAAACAATTCCGGGGAATAATGTCGCTTAAATCACCAAGATATCGATTATCGGAACGTACCGTTATATGGGAGCTATACCAAAACGTGGACCCACATGACAATTTCAGTACCAAAAGTCCTGCTGACATAATACATATTTGAGTAAAATTTTATCAACCTACCTCATTTTGTTCGGAAGCTAGAGTGATTTCCACAGACGGATGGACGGAGGGACGGACATCGCTAAATTGACATAGAATTTAATGCTGACCAAGAAAATATGTACTTTGTGCGGTCAAAAATGTATGTTTCAAGGTGTTACAAACGGAATGACAATCTTAATATATCTATGGTGGAGGGTATAAAGAAATGCGTAAGAGCGGGAAGTGGCCTTACCTTCCGATTCATGACGTTGTCGTGTGTTCCATGTTTGGATCTATTTTCAAAACAAAACCTTTGTCGTATAGTCTAATTTTTATCAATTTTGAGTTTATAAATCATTCTGAAACAAAAAGCAATATTCTAGTTTTTGAACCGTATTTTTAACTCCATGAATGTTTTAAAAATTAATTTAAAAAATAACTCGACAATTTGGCTTTTTTAAGTGGAAAATTCCAAAAAATGGACCTAAAATCTAGAAAGAGTGTACTTTAATATATCAGAAATGCATTTGAGGATTTTTATAACCATTTTCTTCGCAATTAATTTAAGATTTGAACTTCGCACTCAATAAACCCTTGAGATTTCCAAAATTTATAAAAATTGGGTTCCCCACATAGACTTTAATATTTTCATCATTATTTCACTTACCGCATCTGTCAAAAGCTGACCGAAATGGCAAATTAGGAATCCTTGTGTCAGCATGAGTATTAAAAATAAAACCAATTTCATTAAATTGACGAACGAAGCTCCAATTGACATCTGGAAACCTAAGAAGCACATGACCACAGCTGAGGTGGCAAAATTAACAAACAATGACAGGCCAAATAAATCATTAATACGTTCCGATAGCCTGTAAGATAAAAACAAAAATTTAGAAAAATTATAAAAGAAATCCAATGCCCGAAACTCACTCCAATAAAATACTGTGTTTGAAAACGATGTTCCGTAGAAAATCCATATCAGCAGCGCAGCTCCTCAGCCTATAATTGCTAACATCCTTAGTTATGGCCTCAAAATGCATTATCAGCTGGCCAATGAAGGCATATAAGAGTAAATCACTTGAAAACTGGGCCACCACCGAAGTATGACCGGCCCAACACTGAATACCATACAGCAGATAATATGACCAATGATTGCCCGACCAATCCCATGGAGCATACATAAAATACGGTAGGTGCTGTGCTGCATTTACATCTCCTCGTAATTCGGTGGCAATTAACCATTCAGCTATGGCTTCAAAGTTAAAGAACACCAACATTGCCAAACACATTGTCGAAAACATAATTGAAAAGAATTTCGAATATTTCAGATATTTTTGAACATTTAACTCTCGCTGAACTGCAATCGATGCATTTGGAAATATTTGATTCATATCCCTGGCATAAGTGGTCAGATGCGATTTCTTTTGCATGATAATGCATGTTTTAAAACTTCCCAGGGCCACAAAACCAATGTAGGATAAAGCCATAATCATTTCGAGAAATTCATGATGACCATTCACTGATTCTATGACAAAAATAAATTCTCCGAGTAGCACCAAGTTTAAATTTACGAAATTTAGCCAAAAAATCATATCGAATATGAGTTTCTTAAGAGGTTTTGTATTAGGTTTTTCGTAGGCTACGAGACCAATGGTGGCATTCAATGCATTGGCATAACTTAGGAAATCTTCGAAACTGATTAATTTAGACATTTTCCATGGAAGTGAAGTTTACAACTGAAGAAATGTTTGGAAATAGATATAATCAAGTATTCTGGGGGAATAAAACTTATTTCTATTGTCTATCATAAAAAAGTTTTTGAACAATTGTCACGTGTTTCATGATAGTTTTTTTATGGGGCATTTTTAAATGCTAACTCTAACTCATAAAAATTGGAAATTACAACAATTTTTTTTTTCAAACTTTAAATTTGAATACCTAATAAAGGAGTAAAAACGGAGTTATATCCGGCAAGACAGAAGTTTTTATACCCTCCTCTATAATATGATATAATAAGTTCAAACATTTAATCGGCAAGGAAAGTTTCAAGAAGATATACAGAAAATCCGGAGGTACTGTAATATGTGGTCTATAGCAAATACATAACCCATAAAGAGTCTTTGAGGCCTAATGAGAACATGAACCACCAAGTTGTAGGTGATTTAGTCGGAAAGCTGAACCCTATAAAAAACCCGAAAACGGGAGTTACAGTTATCTGGGAATATACTTCAAGGTTTACCTTTATATCCTCCACCATACAATGGAAGGTTTATTATATTTGTCATTCCATACAGGGTGAAATAAAAAAATGCAACAAAGTCATCGCCATAATTTTAACGTTTTTATACCCTCCCCATTGTATGGAGGATATATTAAGTTTTTCATTCCGTTTTTAACACCTCGAAATACACACTTTAGACCCCACAATTTATACATATTCTTGATCAGCATACAATTCTATGTCGATTTAGCGATGTCTGTCCGTCGGTGGAAATCACTCTAGCTTCCGAACGAAATGAAGTAGGTTGATAACATTTTACTCAAATGTGTATTATGTCTGCAGGACTTTTGGTATTGAAAATGGGCCATGTACGTGGACCTACATATAACGGTACCACCCGATATTCGCTATTTTGATGATTTAAGCGACATTTTTTACCGGAATTGTTTCAGATTTGGTATTTGAAGTTCATAATGGATACTACATCCCAAGACAGAAAATTAACCATGTAGGTCCACGTCTTCGTATAGCCTCATATAACGGACCTCCCGATATTGTGTATTTTGATGATTTTAGAGACATTATTTACGGGAACTATTTCAAATTTAGTATTTGAATACTACAGCCTATGACAGAACATTGTTTGTGCAGGTCCACGTCTTCGAATAGCCCCCATATAACAGTACCCCCCGATATTCGGTATTTTGAAGATTTTAGCGAATTTATTCACCGGAATTGTTTCAAATTTGTTATTGGAAGTTCATAATGGATACTACAGCCTACACCAGAAAATTGTCTGTGCAGGTCCACGTCTTCGTATAGCCCCAATATAACGGTACCCCCGATATTCGGTATTTTGATGATTTTAGCGAAGTTATTTACCGAAACTATTTCAAATTTGGTATTTGAATTTCGTAAGGAATTCTACAGCCTATGACAGAAAATTGTTTGTGCAGATCCACGTCTTCGTATAGCCCCATTAACCGGTACCTCCCGATATTCGGTATTTTGATGATTTTAGCGACATTATTTACCGGAACTGTTTCAAATTTGGTATTTTAAGTTCGTAATAGATACTACAGCACAAAACAGAAAATGGGTCATGTAGGTCTACGTCTTCGTATAGCCCCCATATAACGGTACCTCCTGATATGCGGTATTTTTATGATTTTGGCTACATTATTTACCAGAATTGTTTCAATTTTAGTATTTGAAGTTCGTAATGGATACTACATTCTAAAACAGAAAATGAGCCATGTAGGACCACGTCTTCGTATAGCCCCTAATATACGGCTACATTCGATATTTTTAAGATTTTAACAAAATTTTTAACGGATTTTATTTTTTGAAAATTGCTAAATGTGTACCAAATGGTGGAGAGTATTCAAAGTTCGGCACGCCCGAACTATATTTTTTTAAATTATTTAAATGTTATTGAATGAAAGCAAAAATTGTCGGGAAGAGCATCAAATGTTGGAATAATCCTAGATTTGTTCAAATTGGCCACCTTTGGCACGAATTATGACCTTTAAACGCCCCTCAAATGTTGCTCTGCGGTTTTTTGGCCCATTCCCGCCGAATGATCGACACTTTGGTATTTTTTAGTGCCAACCTTGTTTTCCAAAATACTCAGGACACAATAGTCCAACAGATTGGGATCCGTAGTTTTTGGTGGCCATTGTGCGCTGGAAATGAAGCGAGGAACCTCATTTTATAACCATTCTTGGGTGGCGCGTGCTGAATGCGATCCTGCTGAGTCCTGTTGGAATGTCCAAGGTCTGCGGCCAAAATGTTTGGGTACCGAAGGCTTTAATACACCCTCCAGAATATTTTTGCGATAATATTCGGCATTTATGATGATGCCACGGTCGATTAATACGAGCAGAGAGCGACCTTCGGTTGTTATGGTGGCCCACACCATCACAATGGCCGGAGCTTAAGTTCTGATGGTCAACCGAAGGTGCAGATTTTCCGCTGACCTCTTTGGCAAGTAAACACGATCATTTTGTTTGTTTACAAACTGCTGGACAACGAATGTTTTCTCATCGGAGAAAACCAAAATCAAATTCGACAGTTCACCACTTTCGGCCAAGCGAAGCAACTCTTTAGTTTTGTTGAGTCTATTTTCTTTCTGTTGCGGTGTAAGTTCTTGCACTTTTTGAATTTCAAGGGCTTTACCCCGAGCTCATTTTTCAATATTTGCCGAATGGAATATTTCGATATGTTCAGCCCACGAGCTATTTTTCGACCACTGCGGGTTTCGATCAAGTCACTTATTTACTTTTCGAACCATTTCTGTTGATGTTGCTGTTTTCTTCCGTCCACTTCCTTGACGTCGGGCTACGCTACTTGTGGTTTTCCAGCCAAATATAAAGAAATCACACTATCACGCTTGAATTCCATCACGAATAACGTTTTTTTCTGGAAAATTCTCACCAAAATGCTTTTGTGCGCTTGCAAACAATATAGTGAGCTGTCACTGGAATAATTTTAACAGCTGTCGGACTAGTAGCTTAAAAATGACAGCATATCACCCTGTATATTAAAAAAGCAAATGCCCGCTAATTCATATGCGGAATATGGAATTTATGTTAGGAGAATTTTATAAAGACTGGCCTCCAGCTCGCCTACAAAGACGGGCCAAAGTTTATTAATATCATGTTATAAATTAAACGTCTGTTTTCAATGAACATTAATTTTAGATGTCAAGCCATATCACTTTCCCAAATATCAAATTTAATACCATTCAGTACTCGTTTAAAATGTATTTCTAAATCGACCTTCATATATCAATCCTACAGCACAAGAAGTGATCCAACTATCAAATTTTAGATTTCCAGCTCTATTTCCACCATAAATACCAAATTTAGAACTATTTAGTGCTTTTCGTACTTTTTGGTACGATTTTCTAAGACAACTCTCAAACCTGATTCCAAATTTCACATTTCAAGCACTTATGCAATATTTAGTATCATTTAGTATTTTTCGTATAAGTGTAGTACGAATTCCTAAAACCATCTTCTTATATCAACTTTATTTCCCTGACTTGATTCTCATAAAAAGTTTTAAGTTTTTGTCTCTTGTGAATCTAGTGAATTTTACTACTTTTATTTTATTTCCAACACAACATCAAAGACTCTCACTCCAAATGTCAGATTCCCAGCTCTATTCCTTCCCCAACCAAAATCAAAGTTAATACCCATTTCGCGTGGGCATTGATTAATTAGTCACATGGATCTTTTCGGTCCCGTAGGTAACTATTTCCAAAATCACTTCATATTTCAACCCAATACACCAATATTGACTACAATTCAAATTTTAGTACCATTTAGTACCTTTCGCACATAGCCGGTACGTATTTCCAAAACCACCTCCATATCTCAACACAACATATCAATTCCGACCCATTTAGAAATCTACGTAGAATCAGTACTGAGTTTTGAACCATTTATTGCCTTTTGTACTAATTGTACCAAACTTAGTAAACATAAGTACGAACTTCCCAAACCCACATAGCTTAATCTGCCATTCCTAATCTCCAAAATACCTTCATACCTCAATCATGCAATCCAATAGATTTCTTATTTTCACATTTTAGAATTCCAGCTCGGTTCACCACAATTCATATTTGTATCAAATTTTGTACCATTTAGTACACATATATTTACAAATTTCCACAACAACCTGCATCATGTTATCCAAAAAAAAATTTGTTTCCTAATTTCAAGATTCCAGCCCTATCGGCTCACCCAAACCCAAATTGTACCAAATTTATTACCAACAGTTCCCAAATATTCCAATCCTACAATACAACAGTTATCTTATTTCAAAATTTCAGAATTCCAACTCTATTGGTTCTCTCATAATTTAAATCGTAACAAATTTAGTACCATTTAGTACACATAAGTACGAATTATTTAGTACTTTTCGTGTACATAAGTAAAAATTACTCCATATCCCAATTCCAGCTCTATCCATTCCACAAATTCAAATTGTACTAAATTTAGTACCGTTTATTACTTTTCATATACACACTTCTACAACTACAACCTTGATTACCATTCCAAGTTTTAGCTCTAACCACATGATACGAAATGGTAGCAAATGTAGTACATTTTAGTACATTTCTGGGCGTTAATGAATCGTTAAGTCAGTAAATGAGCTATATTGTTCCACGTTTAAGTATAGCCCCCATATAACGGTACCTCCATCTTATATGTTGTCTCAGGAACTGCCTTGCTACACGAACTACCGAAGGGTCTCTTAAGCCAATTCATTGACAACTCAGGCTCCCCCAAAAACGGGCTACTGTCTGTAGAGTGAAGAAGTGAGTTCCATCATATGCAGATCATTGTATGATTCTGGCGTCGAATCCTGTTGTTGGTGGCATAAGTGTGAGGCCGATTTTATCTTATTTACATACGAAGAAATGAGAACACGGCTGAAAGATTCCAGTTCGGTAATATTTAATTCCGATAAAGGTCTCAAATC